TTCCATCTCAACGCAAATGACCATCTGCTGAGATCCCAAGATGATGTAAACGTACAACAGGGCTATGTTAAAACAAAGTTGTATATACACATACAGAGGGAGAGACCGGCAAATGGCGGAACAGATTACATGTTCATTTTATAAAATGTAAGCAAATAACGTAAAGTAAAACGAAAACTGATCGATTTCTGTCTAAAGTATCAGCAAAAAAAAATGTCCAAAACTGAATTTGAAGCTTTACTTTCTTCGAGCTGTCTGCATTTTCACTGTTCAAAATAATGGAATAACTATTTCAGTCGCTGTCTATGAATTTATAATAGCCTATAGGGTGCCACTTTAGCTTTGGGGTTCCAAACACCTTAGCTGATCAAATCTGCAGCTCTGAGCATTCTCTCTAGCGAGAGCGAAGTTCTGTGTTCTACAACAAACTGCTCCCCGCCCCTCCCATGTATATAACCTAATTCAAGGTTCCGTGAACTGGGACTGGGCGTGTCTACAGTTTAAGATGCTGCAGCTACGAACAAGTTCGCACTTTAATTGGCACTGCTTTTCTCTGCGCATGTACATTTCACACTCGCCATTACATTCATCATACAAACGACTTCCAGCACAACAAGTTTTGCTCAACAATGTAAATACAGAGAAAGTTAGTCTAACACTGGAAGAAATTTCAGTACATAACTTTTAACTACATTCATATACATGTGTCTCTAGTTATATCTGGCAGGTTGCGTTCCTCAAAATAGCCGCGTATATGGAAATAGCGGGAAATTAAATTAACGAGCGCTGAGTTAAGTTGGAGGAACAAGAACTGACATGACTTAAGTCAAAATGATGTGGAGAGTCTGGAACACTGCCCACAAAATTCACTGGGCCCTAGCAGCGGCTTCTACATTGACCGCGGATGATACTGAAATAAAGGCGCGGATAACGAGAACTGTACATTTCGTATAAAACCGAGCGCTACATGCTGTAACCACGACATCCTTAGCGTGTTCTATTGTTTACTAAAGGTTCTATATTGTTAAGTTCCTCATTATACAGTTTTCTTCATGTTGGTGTTACTCTGGGTACCAAATTATCTCCTCTTCCCCGTACTACTAATCACACTCGCTATAAGCCATTAACTTAACCATAATGATATTTTGGGTTCAAGGCTACAGTTTTCAATAACCTTTCTACTACTATTTACTGAATTTCCTTCTCTTTCCGCCGACCGTACAACCAGACAAGCCTGTAGGACCTACAGGCCTGTCTGGTTGTAGGTGTAGGTCTTTGCACTTCGTTCCCAAACACATTCAATACCTGTAGAATTTCAGGTAGTCACCAGCTGTGGCTACGAACACGGAACATGCCACGTAGTACACTGAAAGCAAACTGACGTTTCGAACGAAACATATCGCCTGTACCTTCAGGTCGAAGAATAAGATCTGCTTGCTAACTACTTCATGATCATTTCTTGCTTGGCTTATTCTTCGATCCTGACGACGGAAGCAAAATGTTCCTCCGAATATCGGGCTACAAGGCGTTATCACAGAAGAGAGAAGTCTTGCCATTCAATATCCGTTCTTATTCCACTCTGACAAATTGTAACGCTCCTCATAATTATTACATTTCTATACTCTCCTGTTATTTAATTCCCTGTACATCAGATACACGTATTCTCCAAGTACACGGTTCTCAGACACTGTCAGCTTCACTTCTTCTTTCGTCCTCTTCGGCTTAAACATTTAACGCATTCTGGCTATATAACACTTCAAAAATAAACTCTGCATTTTGCCCACAGAGAGTATGTGTTTCGCGTTAACTCAGAATTAACAGCTATCAACTATCTAAATAGACTAACCGGATGTCTTGGAGGCAGATTTCTTTTGTGACGAAAAAATGAATTCTGAAATATTATAACAATAGATATCGGGTCTCAGAAGGCTGAGGACCATGGCATATGAGAAAGAGGTTGCACTGCCATGAAAGAGGGCACTCTCGCCTTCTTCAGCACACACCGAACGGCTCTGAAAAATCCATCTGATGCAGTGGAATCGTTTAAGGGCACAATTGTACCACTCACCTCAGCCTAGCTCAGACGTTAACAATAAGGTTGAGGTTGTACCCCGTTTGAACATGTACAGATTCACAGTGCAATGCTGAAGTAACGTGGATAATTTTCTCTAATCTGTACTCCATGACCCATACGTAACGTCACCTATCTCTGTTTTACCATCATCCATTTTGTTTCATAACCCGAAAACTACCTTATAAGTAGCAGAAATAGCGCATTCGGTATAGCAACTGCCTACGGGATGGACGACCAAGGGTTCAGACTTCGAGTCCCGGTAGGGTCAAGAATTTTACCTTCTCCATGTCATCAAAACCAGCTCTGGGACCCAACCAACCTCCTGTCCGTTGGGAACCGGAGGATAGGTAATGCGCCAGGGGCATGAAACTAACCACTCACCTACAGCTAGTGCCGAGGTCAAGAAAATGTGGATCTATACATCCATTCTCTCATACGCCTTCATGGTGTAGTGCTTAATTAGTTAAGGACATGAACCACTTCACCTTTTAGCTGATAAATAAGCTTTGAGGGCTGCGGTCTTCGCTGACAAGATTCTATGCTGATCGTTACAGGCGTTTCGGAGAGACCGCTGTCTCAATCTTCAGGGTAACCCTATATAAGCGGTAATAATATTAGCAGTCGTCTAAGAGAACCTAAAATCTCATATTTGAAGACATAAAAACTGCATGCAGCTGAGCCCTTCTTGAGGAGCTGTCAATTCTGCAGCCACATAAGAACTTCCAAAAATTTTATGGAACCCGAAGGTTCATTACCGTGTTCACAAGAGCCCTCCACTGGTCCCTATCCTGAGCCAGATCGATCCAGTCCATACCACCCCATCCTCTCTCTTTAAGATCCATTTTCATATTGTCAACCACCTACGTTATGGACTTCCTAGTTGTCTCTTTCCTTCTGGCTTTCCCACCAATATCCTATATCATTTCTCTTCTCGCCATTCGTGCTACATGCCCTGCCAATCTCATTCTCCTTGATTTGATCATTTTAATTATATCTGACGAAGAGTCCAAGTTATGAAACTCCTTATTATGAAGTTCTCTGTGTATTTTTCATAACTTCCTTGTTAATCAATGGAAAGTTATGAAGAAGGTTTGAATTCCTGGCAATCTCATGGCGCCTGCTCGAACGTATCTACGTACTGCTTCCTCTGGTGAACACAATAGAGAAACTGAGATGCATGAAATGATGCTGCTATTGGTCAATTAAGCGACCATGCGTGTGGAACAGGTGATAATGATATTGATTCGATAGGCTGGATAGTGCTCGTACCATGCCTCAACTACTCAAGTGTCCCTTTCCAACTCTGCATAATAATAGTAATATTTAAGGCAGATGTATTATCCCCTTGACGATCTTCATAATTTATACTCTTGACGATAAAATCAAGATAGATGAAAAGGGCAGGCCATGTAGGAAGCACGGTACACATGAGAAATACACACTAAATTTCGATTGAGAAGCCTGTGGGGAAGTACCCACACCAAACTCGTGGGCGCAGGTGGATACTGAATAGGGTAGGAGGTGGAATTTTATTAATTTGGCTCATGGCTGCGACCAGTTGGGGCGGGGGGGGGTCTTGGGGTAAGGCAGTGAACGGGATTTGAGATAATCTAGTCCCTCCCCAGATGAAATGAGAGCAGAAATACGATATATCTTGGTCAGTATAACATACACAAACTGAGATTTGAACCCAGAATTCGAAAAACCTGAATTAAGAATGTTTCAAACATTATACTGTGTCAAAAGATTCATTTCCACTTTCTGTGTTTCTTTCATATTGCCTCTTTTTGAATATATGGAAAAAAGAGAGAAAGAAGAAATGAAAGAGCTGCAACAGATGCAACAGAATGTTGTTCAAATAGCCGATTACAAGTTTTAAGGAGTTTCAAGGAAATTTCGTTACAAATTATACGTATATACAAGCCAAACAAGCTTCAGGTTATTTTCAATAACAACTTCTCACAAATAATATATATAAAAGCAAAAAGCTTAAGGTTGTCAACAATAGTTTGTCAGGAATAATATAAAAGTCAAACAACTCTGAGGAACCTTCAGTAACACTTAATCATAAATAATACACATTAAAGTCAAACATATTTATTTCAACATCACTTTGTCTCAGATAATATAAGTCAAACAACTTTAAAGCATTTTCAATAAAAATTAATCACAAATTATATACATAAAAGTCAAACATGTTTATTTCAATATCAATTTGTCACAGATAACATATACGAGTATATATAAAAGTCACACAACTTTAAGGCATCTTCAATAACAATTAATCACAAATGATATACATAATAGTGAAACATGCTTAAGGTTTATTGCAATATCCATTTGTCACAAACGATACACACAAAAGTAAAAAAGTGGCAATGCCACACACACAAGTATATATAAGAAAAAAACGTTTCTTTCAATAACAGTGTACCAAAATATTATATACAAAAGAAAAAGGAGCTTAAATTTCTCTTCAGTAACAATCTGTCACAAACGATATATAAAAATGCCAAACAATATCTCACCCTGAGACTGAGAAGCAGAGGTATGCAAATATATATCTTATTCTTGCAGCAGTGTGACAGTTCTGTGTAGCCAATACGTTCTGCCAGGGCATGCTCCTTGTCGCTTGCTATTATATATATTCAATGCCCTTATCTCCATCGCGAAACACGGCCTATACTTTATACAAGTAAGCCAGATATTATCTGAAACGTAAGGCATAACAATTACTTTCACTGTCAAAGTACCAGCTAACAAAGACTCAACATAATGAAACAAGAAACAACTGGTTAGGGCACGCTCCATTTTCCTGTTATGCACTGACAAGTTTTATAAATCATACTTTTTCACTGCCAATTCCACTAGATTTTAATTCATGTACATAATTTTAATAACACAGCCTACACTGCCATATTTTTACATTCAAGTCATATTTCTGCCTTATTTCAGGAAGAAACACAGATAAGTATGATGGGAACCATTCTGTGGGCTGTGCCACGGTGTAGTCGGGTTCACCCGCACTTCGCAGGAACGTACTGCCACCATCTTCACAGTCTAAGAGTAAACAAAGCAAGAAATCAGCAAAAAGAGAGCAAAATCTGGGGTCATGTATAGCACAATGTTCACTGGGATACCTCTGGTTGCGGCTTGTGACTTGGTGATTCCTTCGGCACTGACGCCGTGGGCAGTACATAAATACAAAATGTCGGTGAATACCTATCGTACTAAATGGCACACGTCTCAGAAGATTGTACTTTTTTTTTTTAGTTTGAGGTGGGGCGAGACTTAGTGCGCTTGGTACGTCGGTCTCCAAATGTCCTACTGTACCATCCCCGGATGACAGATGATCAATGTATTGATATTGACAAAACACACTGTAATAGTAATTTCTGCCCGTACTGATATATCCTTCTGCAGATGGTCCTTAATACCGAAATATGTCACGGATAAAAGATTAAAAAGGAAAGATAGGAAAAAAAACATTTTATAAGTCACACTAGACGGAGTTAGTTAACCTTTTGTAATATTGCTAGTATAGCGAACCAGGATGAACCAAATCAAATAGCAAATTACATTCAGAAAGTCTTACACCTTTCTCNAAAAAAAAACATTTTATAAGTCACACTAGACGGAGTTGGTTAACCTTTTGTAATACTGCTGGTATGGCGAACCAGAATGAACGAAATCAAATAGCAAATTACATTCAGAAAGTCTTATACCTTTCTCTGAGACACTTTCAATACAATATCTATGTACACCTACCTCATAAGAACATAGTAGTATGTAATTAAGCAGAGATAATATCAACCCTGCAAATGGGGTCTGCATGTCCTTCCGAAACGTCGGCAACATTACTCACAGCCACAGGGTGCATAGATCCAGAAGAAAAATCAACGTCAATACTAAAACACAGTTAATAAATATATCATCAATTACTTATTACGGAATGTAATAGTTTATCTCGCATCTTATGCCATATGTTTATAATATACAAGCAATGTTTCTGTATTTAAGTTAAAAAACACAATTCATATATGAATGACACATTATTTAATAAAATGAATCTTACCTTGAAATACCTCTTACAGATCACTTGCCTGATACTGTCTTTAATGAAATCAGCATATTTTTCTTCTTAAGACATATGCTGCTCTCTATCGGTGTAGCCGAAATTATATGTTCACATACGAACTTTACCTTCTAAGATGACAAACGCATTTAGGTTATGTTCCTATTTCACTATAACGATGTCTGATGACAAAAGCTGGTTACCTAGTGAACTACATGTCTGAACTTCTGTCAGTGTAGTTCGAACTGACTATAGGGAGCCCTCTGCACTGCAATGATTAATACTGTCACGTGTTATCGGTGACTATAGACGGAGTTTTGAATTGGTGAATAGATTTATTGCACCTTATATATTCAGACGTTTCGGAACTATAGGCAATATAGCGCTATCGCTGATCTATACACATTACAGTTCACCGTTACACGTACACTAGGGTTCTCCTGGCAACGGATTTATAACAGTCTCACTAGGACTTCAAATCACAAGTGAAGTCTTTGCACCGCATAATTCCTCTCTTGCCATTATTCTGAAATTGTCAATTCCGAACACTCAACTCGATTAATGTTCTCTACTCAGTTGCGTCTTCTGACTGAGTGCTTTTATAAAGCCTTGGCATGGACCACAAAGAAACCAACCCTGTATTGCTAAGGAGGCGTGTTTACTGGTCCGTTACCGAGCAATGGATGTCCTATTGCCATATGCGCGTGTTTATCAGCCGTTGCCTAGCAATAGGTACACACATCTTGTGACAAAAAAAACTACATACTACGACTATGCAGATAAATTTAAAGTAAACGTCCTGCATCATATATACTCTATGTGTATGAATACTTTAATAAAATTGACGGAATGAACAGCAATTTGTCTCCGTTTTGTACAGGTCGTCCATCTTGCGGCTCCGTTTATAAAAACGTCTACATATTGAAGCATTCAACTTCCAGTGACAGCCTGATAATGCACACGCAACAGGCAAGTGTCGACTGACAAAATATAATCTGTAAACTTTCTTGTATTCACGTCTCATTCTATTACATATTGTGTACTTATTGAACTAAATTAGTTTCCACGTTGATATTTCAATGAACAAGAACAAACGCAGTACCTAACTTTGGACAGAAAAGTATATACTGCAATTAGATTGACACCATTAAACTAGTACATCATTCACTGATGACAGAGACAATGTTTCCAAGAGTCTGAATATCAACTCCGAACTGACGTGCTTTGTCTTTTTTAAAGATCATTATCACTTGATGCGGCGACAGCTTACAGTCTTAGCTGCCAATAATTTTTTTTTCATCTCAGACATCTGCAGGGAAAATACTGATATCATAAAAACATTCAGCCTGATAACAAAGGCGTTAAGATAACATCAGAATACTTTCGAGAATATCCTGAAATCTGAAAACGTCGGAAATCATATTTCGGAAAACTTGCCGGAAAATTTCGACGAATCGGACGACTAAAACCTTTCTTCAGAAATTCGAAATTTTCTTAAATTCCGATATTAAATTTCGAAATTATCGAAATTTTCTAAACTTCCGAGAAGTACAGAACTCATTTACATCCACAGATAGCTACGAGGTGGGGTGACGCACTAAGATAAGCTAATCTAACCCCCCACCCCCCAGGCTAACAGAAACTAATACTACTCATGTAAGACTTGAGGTTTTCACGGCGACTATGAAGAATGCCGTCTTCTGGGACGTGGCACCGTGTAGATCTTGTGTGAATCGACGTTTCTGAGGAACCTATCGCCATCTTCAGGGTAGAAATATCTTCGAGCGAAGAACCAGCGTAAGTAGTCTGCAGCCACTTATTCACGCTGGGTCCTCGCTCGCGGATTTTTCTACCCTTAAACATCAGTTCACACGCCGACACATCCCAGAAGACGGAATTCTCAAAACTACTGAAATCATACCACGCGCTGCCGAGTACACTGTGCAGGCAGATGGCAATATACAGCCTTGAACTCATGAATTTGCCTGGCTATAACTGTCCTCTTAGTGCCCTTACGTTGGGCTCCACTTAATCTTTGGTAACCGTCCCTCCTACCTACCGCCTGCGGCTCCGTCTGCATAGTAGTGCAGGGAGAGGCAGTCGATGACGATCGGCCCTCTGCTCCGATGACCACTTTGACTCTGCCCTACCTGGTGTTGCCGCTGCTGAAGTTGCTAGGTAGTAGCTGGCTTCGGCTTGACCCGGCTCCACCGCTTCTTCCTTCAGTTGAGATTATTGGGGGTTGCATTTCAGGATTGGATCTGATAGTGTGGGTGCCAGCAAACGGGTAGAAGAGTAAGTGGGGAAGGAGTGGGCATGTGGGTTTGACTAGCTAGTGGAGATGAGTCTCTCTTCAGGTCGGATACGGGTCAGGCTCGGACAAGTGAGGGTGAAGCACCTCTAATCAACATAATCCACTGTACCACCACAACACTCTATTGTTCTTCTTCTTAAAGACACTCGGCTGCATAAATTCACACAATCTAATTTAGTTTTGGCTTACCAGCAGCTGGTGTTACAGTTACACTAAAATGCACTCGATCAGCTCGCAAAATTCCTTTGTGCCGCGCTCTTGTTAAGCTAAATCTCAATATAAGTCGTTATGAGAGCAAATTTTGTACTCAGAATTATCTTTTAGCANCAGCAAACGGGTAGAAGAGTAAGTGGGGAAGGAGTGGGCATGTGGGTTTGACTAGCTAGTGGAGATGAGTCTCTCTTCAGGTCGGATACGGGTCAGGCTCGGACAAGTGAGGGTGAAGCACCTCTAATCAACATAATCCACTGTACCACCACAACACTCTATTGTTCTTCTTCTTAAAGACACTCGGCTGCATAAATTCACACAATCTAATTTAGTTTTGGCTTACCAGCAGCTGGTGTTACAGTTACACTAAAATGCACTCGATCAGCTCGCAAAATTCCTTTGTGCCGCGCTCTTGTTAAGCTAAATCTCAATATAAGTCGTTATGAGAGCAAATTTTGTACTCAGAATTATCTTTTAGCACGTGTGATGCGGGGTTTGCCTCCGCCAATTTCAAAAGTTGCTAGACGACTCAAATCTTAGACTGAACTCTCTGCCGAGCCAGAGGTCCTAACTGACATTATCTGCCTATTCTCCTCTCCTCCTAATTTCCCTGATAGGCTCATTCAAATAATGGGAGTTGGTTTAATTTTGGTTCCGACCAATGACAGATTGTTTTTAAGGGAATTTCGCCCTAAAAGACCAAACGGCGAAATTGACAGCGATGCAACTTATGAGGGGTCGCTAATGATCTCCTGGCACTCCCACTTCTGACTTACGGCTGGTAGAAACTGTCACTTCTCGAATTCTCAAAGTGGCTTGCCGCTGTAAGTCTAATTCTCAGTTTCTAAAGAAACTCAGTGGGGTTTCTTGACGTATCATTTTCTGCCCTTTTGGAAAATAACACGAGATACTTGGACGCAAGGACTAGCAGATGTCCTTGTCCGCGCAAGTTTGGTCTATATGCTCATCGCCTATACCTTGTTCTTACAGTGTGTCTTAAACCTTTGTTTCTTCATAAATTTTTTATTATTAACTCTATCGGCTACTGAAAAAGTGGGGGGGGAAGGATTGCGATGGTGCGGTTAAATTGCTTGTATGCATACAGAAATCCCGTAATATCAGACTGACATTAATATCTCTATCGGGTACTAGACGGTGCCACATATTGTCAATTTCAAGATGATAAAGCAATACACACCAGAGCTGTTTCCTTCTCAGGTTGATCTCAAGGCCACCATGTTGCTGTTGGTGAGGACGGACACTCCGCCCCCGACACACAAATCCAAGCTGGTGATGTCTCTAATGATGTTATTCATACCGCAAATTTGACATTTAAAATCTCGACTATAGTCAGACAAAAAGACAGACTGGAAGAACGGACTTCAAATTCTTTATAACACTCTGACAGAAAAAATCTGGACCTAAGAAAACAACTAACTCATGAAGCTCAGTTCTCCTTGA